CGGTAAATAACTTTTCCTTATTCACTTTTTCCACACCAGTCATGATTGTATAAACCTTTATCTTATCCCCCATTTGTGTTCTCTTTTCTAAACTGAAAAGTCCAAGTCTTTTTAATCTCTCTTCATATGGGACCTGCTCCAAATTCCTAATCATTGTTGTTGCCATTCTCTGAACCTTTTCCAATGCCAATATATTTTTGGAGATGAGGCAATCCCATTTGTACGCAGTATTCAAGATGTGGCTGTATGATGGTTTTATATAGAGGCAACAAGATATTCTCTGTCTTATTCTCTATCCCTTTTTTAATTATTCCTAACATTGTTTGCTTTTTTGACTGCCACTGCACACAGAGTGGATGTTTTCAGAGAACTCTCCACAATGACTCCAAGATCTCTCTCAAGTGTCCAACTTGTTCAGCTAAAGGCCAAACATATTACAGCAGAACCCCATTTATACAATCTAAGTGGGACCAGGGCCAGATCCAGTAATAAAAAATGCAGATAATCAGAAGAATGAGCAGGGCTTTGGCTGTCAGCTTTAGGAGACGGCTGGGCTCTGGCTGTCAGTCCCACCACCTGATTCAGTTCATATGGACAGGCAGATAATTGAGGTTCAGATAACAGGGGTTGTACTGTATTTTGAAAAGTTCTGAGGACCACAATTGGCATTTTTAAGACAAGCTCTCTGCTTCATTCCATTTCCTGTGCATAGTTTAGGGAATATAATTGGAACGGGTGCTACCCCCAACTCACCTGTTCTGGATTCCCCTTAACAGTTGACAGCTAGGTCCTGTGAGTAGGGAACATGTTGAGATGAAGAATGGCTGGAACATACTACTACAATAAAACCTCACAAATACAAACACCAGCACTATGGACACTATGTGAAACTAGAAGCTACCAATCAGCCAGCTACTGAGAGGAAAAAAGCAACTACTGTACTGTGCCTATATTGCATCTTAAAGGTAGGCATATCTGGGCTGCTTGCCCCCACTTCAACCTTACCCCCACTTGTGGAACAGCCACTAACAGCAAGACACTGGAGCCAGCAGAGCAGGAGCAGCACTGTCTACACAGCTTTTACCTGTCTCTCCACCCCAGCCTCCCACCATCAGAAGGGAGACACTGTTTCCCACACATATCCATCCCTGACTGCAAGGGGACAAGCTTGCAAACTCATGCTGCTGCTGATCCTAGCCTGGAGCATGAACTGCTGGATCTGGAGCCAGAACAGTGCTTTGTTCAGAATTATAAACATGCATGGTCTGTAGAGTACTGTTGTTAGGTACTGGCTCATCCTAGAGCAGCCCCCAGGCTGAAGCAGAGAATCAGAGAGCCATAGGGTAACACGGAAAGTAGGCGGCTTTGTCTACTATTACTATCTCCCTGCATTGACTTGGCTGATTCAAAGACAAACAAAATCAAGAAGGTAGCTCAGAGAGCCTATTTTCAATTAATAATCAAAACAAATGTTTTTAACATTTGCCTGTAGCCACAGGTCAAAGTCTTGAGGGCCACAGATTGGGCACCACTGATCTTAACTAAAGAACAATATATATTTAAAAATGCGTAAACCATCATTCAAATTAAACAATCTTTCGTGTCTACCATAAAAAAAAAATTAAAGAGCCTGTTCAGGAGGGGTTATCTGCTCATAAAACACCTGAGTGCATAGCCAGAAGGTCAAATATGCTCTGTCAGATCAAGATGGGAAATGAGTTTCAAAATAGGGAGCCCTCCACAAAGTATGCACTGCCACCAACATCCTCATGTATACATTTAGGAATTTCAGCTTTAGGGTTCCGGATGATCTCAACTGCCAGGTTTTGAGAGAAAGAGGAACTTCATCTGATACCCAGGACCAACAGCTTTTTACAGATTATCTCCTAGTACTGCACAACATGACTCTAAAGAGAGGATCGTAGATGTTCTGTATTCCATGCCTGAAGCACACACACTTCCTATTTATCCTCACTGTGCCCACCATGCCAAGGACCAAATTATCTCCTCTGACCTAGACCTCTATATTTACAATTTGCAATAGTATTAGTCAACCCTCTTGATCACCTTGGAATGGTCACTGAAGGAGTGCAGCTGGATATGAGAGTAAAAACTGTCAAAGCAGGTTGCAACACACATTCACTGAATAATATTTGCCTAACCCCTAGCCCCCAAAAAAGGCTTGAGGGAAAAACAGTTTCCCAGCCCCAAAAGAATAACCCTTTCATAAGCCTTAAAACCCCAGGTATAAATTTAAAAGACATTATACAATGGAGTAAAAAACATTTTACAAGAACACAATTTAAAATTAGGATCTATGAAATAAGTAACCATCTTCAGCCTGTAAGCAAGTGGGGAGAAGTAACTAACTTTCAATGCTACCAAAAAGGCCAACTTCCCAGTTTCAGCATTCAGTTTGCCTTATTTATTTACAGTTTATTTCCCAATTCTTATTAAAGCTCTATTAAAAAGGAGATCAACAGTAAATTATAAAACATTTGAATTTGGGGCTGGCTGTAGTCTTCCTAAATCGTTTAAAATTTGTTTGATTAATCTCAACCCCTCCCCCCCCATATTTATTAAAATACTGGGTTAGAAAAATGTCTTAAATACATCACCTGCTAATGCTAGTCACTCATAATGGTGTTCCTGTCTCTAAGCAGTAGTTTCTTCTCCCTTCGTATCCATGAGAAATGTTATTTTAAGTTCTAAAAATAAAATACAGCGCAGTGCAAGAAACAACTTTTCATATATCTAATATTTTTCTGAAAAATCCACATACAGCAAGAAATATCAGGTACGTGGTGTCATGAACAAAATCAGAAGATTCATGATAGGGCAGAATTAGAAGATTTTCAGGAACTTCAGAATTTTTTGACATTGTTCTGATGTTTGCATGAAAACCATGCCCAGCACCAGCTAAAACAAAAACTCTTTGAGAGACATGAAGAATATGGAAATACAGGGAGGGAAAGGGAAAATATAAAAGTTTTACAAATTGTGATTATATATTAAAATATAAACAAGGTTACAGTATCAATCTGAAGTGTCTAGTTACTCAAGCTTCAATTGTGGAGAATAATGTAAGGCAAGCCTCATGTTATTATATATAATGATAATAGGTATACTTATATTGTCTGTCCACACCTTTCAGGTTCCAGACACATGCAGGAGTATATTTGCTATAGCTGCACTATCTGGGCTGCAATTATATCATAAATAAAATATTTGTTATAATTCTTTTAAACTTAATTTTCACACCCCAAATTTTAAAATACTGGAGACTTTAGAAGCTTTTCAATATCTACTGAAGCTGAATTTTTAGAAATAGACATTTTCAATGCTCAGAAGGAAACCAACCAGTGAAACCACTGAATGGTTTTACTTCTCAGATTACTTGGCAGTCTGACTGGTCCCCCCTCCCCACCCCAAAAATGTATTTTAGAAGCCTAGATTTTTGCTCATCCAACCAGAGTTTACATAGACCTAAAAATGAAGAGTCAGAAGACAACTAAGAAAGAAACATCTTACTTCTTACTTTCATTAGCTGAACAATGGGAGTGTCTATTATCCATTTGTATGTTGGTGTGGGCACAGAGCTAAACTGAGTAACAGGAGACCCTACCCTGAAGAGTTTACAATTTAAGAGTTAGGGTATGTCTATACTAGCCCCCTAGTTCAAACTAGGGAGGCTAATGTAGGCATTCGAAGTTGCAAATCAAGCCCGGAATTTAAATATCCCGCGCTTGATTTGCATCTTCCTGGCCGGTCGCCATTTTTTGAAATGTACAAGTCCGGACTAACTGCCCGCGTCTACACATGGCAGGGACCCGGTAGTTCGAAATAAAGCCCTAGTTCGAACTACCAGGTCCCTGCTGCGTGTAGACATGGGCAGTTAGTCCGGACTTGTAAATTTCAGAAATGGTGACCGGCCGGGAAGATGCAAATCAAGAGCGGGATATTTAAACCCCAGGCTTAATTTGCAACTTCGAATGCCTACATTAGCCTCCCTAGTTCGAACTAGGGGGCTAGTGTAGACATACCCTTAGAAAGTTGGGTCCCAATCCTGCAAATACTTAACACACAATTAATTTAGTTTCATGCTTGCAATTATGAAGGTGCATAGCTGTTTGCAGGACTGGGGCCATAGACCAAACACCATAGGAAAACTAGATGTGGTAGTACCCTAAACATTTATTTAAAATTCATAATATATTTGGATTTTCAAAAGCACCTGATTCTCCTTCTGTTGAAGTCTACAGGAGTTAGGCCAATAATGAATGCTTTAGAAATCTGCATCCTAAACTAATTCTTAGTAATAATGTCATTATTTAATATCAGAAATAGTGGAGACAACTGTACTGATTTTAAAAACAAAATTCCCCTCTGGACCTATTCAACTTTTTACACTTTTTTTAAAGAATAAGATTATAAAATACCTGGTTAATTCATCATCATCATCACCACCATTACTTTCAGGTTCTGCACCTCCAAACTCTAGCTAGTGAAGGAACTAGCTAAAGACAGCAAAGCAAAGATATGCAACATTTGTTGAATATTCGACACACTAGTCTAGTCCTCCCCCCAACCCCACTGCCTCTATCAGAAAGAGGCAGCGGGGGGGAGGGAGGAGGGAAGGAGAGAGAGAGAAGAGGAGGCATGCTGAGGAAGCCGGCTTAAAAGCCAGTTCTCCCAAGCTTCAGCTCTGTGGGTGGGGGCAGGGGTGCAACAATATACCAAAGTCTCTACTGGGACTCTGGTACATTTCAAAGCAGAAGCACCACATGGAGCCTGGGGCCAGCAGAGGACTAAGTTTCAATCCTTGAAATGCGCACGAGCCCCCATTTAAACTTTGGTCTTCCAGTTGAATTACATTAAAACTTTTGTGCAAGAGCCCCCATTTATACTTTGGTTTTCCAGTTGAATTACATTAAAACTTTTGCAGTTATACAATCTTGTGAATTAAATAGTATAAAAACAACATGTGGAAATCCTGGGAGTTTAAATAAAACAATTTTACCATGAAAAAGCAGTCACAATTTAAATGAATGTAGATGACAATTTGAAAATTATACACCCATACATGCATTTTAGAATACAGAAAATATTTTAGAGTACAGAAAAGAGTAAGAATGCAGGAATAAAACACATTAAAAAGTATAAAGGTATAAAGTTTGAGATATAACATTAATATGCAATGCATAATTAAGAACAAATATTTTAAGTTGTGGTTCAGTGTGTAAAGTTTTTTGGGTTTTTTTGAGTAGTAAGAGGGAGATCCAGCATAACCTCAAAGGAACCCCTAGAGGCTGTTGCAGGCACATTATAAGAATGTCAACCAGTATCTTCTTAGCTGCGGGTCAGAGAGAAAAACATGGTATTTATTTACTTACTCCTCACATGCAAATCTTCATCTGTATTCGTGAGTTAATATGAGGCAGATGAACTATAATTCTCTTAAAAGCTGGGACTGTTTTTCCAAAAGATCAGAGACATGTTAATTTTTAAGAGTAATCTCAACTTTAATTTAGTTCTTCAGAAGTGAAATTCTACAGTGTATTAGAAAACTTACAGCAAACATCATATTACATAAGGAATGTTATGGGGAGGGGGGGGTGAAGAGATGGTGTCATACTTCTTGGGAACTAGACAGGTACCAACTTCACTCTAATCAATTGTTACACCATACTAGTAAGCAAAATAAGCCACTCTTCCCCAGAGGCTAACATGTACATTTCACTGTGTATGCCAGCTCTGCTAACCTGGGAAACAAGGGAATTATCTTAGGTTTCCTGAATGGTGCTGCTGAACATTAGTCAAGCAGCCTACCAATTTCAATCATTTTATAATATTTCATTTTGACTATGTCTTATGATTTTAGATAAATACAACTATAAACCCCAAAATAAAAAGAAATCTCAATTTCAAAACAAGCTGACTCAGCTAAAGATTGCTAAGGCTTATTTTAGATTTTGCACAGCTTATTTAAAACGGATTAGGGTATTCATAGCTCTCCGAACTGCCCACCAAATGTTGGATTTCTTTTGAGTATTTTAGATGCATGTCAGCCTCAATCTATCAGAGTTCTTGAAAGCAGGTATTTTCCATGAAATACTTCATGACTGGGAAGATGCAGCAAATGTACTCTTCTTATTTTAGTCTCTGTATTTAGCATAAGGCACCCATAATTGCCCATGCTTCGCTCTCTTCATAAAGGCTTCAGTATCCCTTCCTTCCTCTGAATCTTGCTCTGGTATCCAACTAAAGATTGAAGAATAATTAAGTCAACATATTGCAAAAAATAAAATACTACTATTAGAACTGCTTTGCAGCACCTGCATTTCTATTTCTGGCACTTCAGTGACTTTCTTTACTGTATCTGTTTTTGAAGAGAATAAAAGGTTCGTCCATAAAAAAGACACAAGACAAGTGTGATAGCACATGGTAATGCTGTCTTCAGAAATCTTACTCAATTAATACTAAAGACAAAAGGTTTGCTGTGGCAAATGGCAGTGTCAATGGCTCATTGTCCGCAGGAGTGCTCTCCTGTGAACACAAATACTGGTAATAAGAGTTGGAAGTATTTTGTCCGCAAAAGTGCCAACTAACAGTGTTTATAATTTCAGACTTTGAGTAACATGGCCATGTCACTAAAAGCTGTGTAGCGTAGACATAGCAATCCCCAGTGAGACTGGGACAATATAAAAAGGAACCTACAGAGTAAAATATGGGTAAAAAAAATGCAAACCAATATAGGGATATTAAAATGTGTTTATTTTTGTAAACATATAACTGATTAAATTTACAGTGGTTACACATTTACACACAGGGGAGGGGGAAGAAGGAGGCAGGAGCTGGTGCTCATGGGGAGCCAGCTTTTAAGCACCTGCTTCCACCTACCTGCCCCCCTGCTGCTGTATCTGTGGGAGGCAGTAGTGCAGAGGTGGGTGCGTGTGGCTCCATGGGAGCAGACATGCGCAGGGAGCCAGTTTAAAAGCTGGATTTCTGTGTGTACTGGCTCTTGCCTGCCCTCTCCACCCCCGCTGCCTCTATATCAGGCGTACTGGCTCTTACCTGCCCTCTCCACCCCCGGTGCCTCTATGTCAGATGCAGCAGGCGGTTCCACAGGACCTGGTATGCACGGGAAGCCGGTTTAAAAGCTGGCTCCCCACATTCACCACTCCCTCCCCCGCTTCTGATACAAAGGCAGTCGGGGCGAAGGATGTGGGGGAAGATATAAACATTAGGATTAACCAATGAGTCCTGGCGCATCAGTTAATTGTGTACTTGTTCGCCTCCCTAATCTCATTAACTAGAATTCACTGCTACCTCAGTAGAAAAAGTTAGATAAACCTAAAAGATGGACCATACTACACCAATAACCATATCGTTGCCATGTTTAGGAAGAGAAACTCAGATAGGACCAATTTCATATCTCAGTTGAACATTGACGTAGTTGAAATCAGTCTGTCTCATCAATGTATTACTATTGTTAAAATAGGCATTAGAATTATAAATAAATTCTAAACACTAAACACGTTTATAATAGGCATCTCACTGTGGTACTTCAGCACTAGCTTCCCAAAGGAGAATCTGATAATCATAAACCTGATTTACATCTCCTTAAAGTAACAATCATTTAGTTTTAACGGGACAGCTATATTAATCTGTTTCAGCAAAAACAACAAGGAGGTTGATGGCATTTTAAGGACTAACAAATGTATTAGGGTATACGCTTTCATGAGATATGGGACATAAGCGACTAGTCGACTATCTGATAAGCATAAGCTTATTGGCTAGTTGACGAGTGACGCAACTAGTCGCTTCCCCCCTTGCTGCCTCTATCAGAGGCACAAGGGGGAGAGGGGGGAAAGCAGGAACCAGTCCTACGGGGGAGCTGGCTTAAAAGCCAGTTCCCACAGCACCGTCTCCGCAGGGGACAGGGAAAGTAGAGACACAGCAGGAAATGGTGCAAGCAGGGACTGAAACAATCTCTGCTCGCACCAGTTCTGCTCTGATTCTGCTTTTAAAATGTACAAGAGCCTTGCAGGAAGCGTAGGGCCATCTTTTGAAATATACAAGAGCCCCAGCGGCCTCCTCTACATTAAGGTTCAGGCACTACAGAAAGTGTGGGGCCAGTCCTCCGCTGGCCCTGCACTCCCTGCAGCGCTTCTGCTTTTCAAGTGTAGCAAGAGCTGGGCAGGGCTCTTGCTACAGTTCAAAAGCAGAGGTAGCCTTGTAGGTTCAATTCATTCATTTATCTAAATTTAATATCCCTACATGAGATATTAATTATTACCTAAGTACATTACATTAAAACTACAAAACTTCAAGTGGAAAGCAGAAGTCTATTGCCATAGTAAAATTATCCTTTAATGAGTTTCCAATTACAATTATGACAGAGAAGGAGCTATTCTACTTAGTAATGCCAATTTGAATAATTTTGATGGTGTCTTCTTGCATGTCAGATTTTTTTAGAAAAGAAAAAAGTAAAAAAAGGCTAGAAAAACAATCAAACCACTTACCATTGACCTTTTGCACTCAAAAAATGAAACCTGCAAATTTCTGCAGTGTCCTTCCTTCAAGCATTGTCTGGGGCTTTTTCCTTCCTGTCACATGAAATATAACAACATAAGAATCCAGTGTATTTTTCAGTGGAAAGGATACTACAGACAAAATACCTTTAAAAAGTTCTATGCACACAGTTGAAACTCTGTCCAAGATCTTTTAACTTGGGTTGTTTGCTGTAGTAAGATCCACGTAAATGGTGATGAGAGTTGTGAAAGTCCAGATGATAATTTTCTCTTCTCCCTCCTCCCAAGACACATGCTTCTACCAGTAAAATGAATAATTGTCTAACTGGATACACATCTTTTGGGGGTATTTAGATTTATTCAAGGTGTACTTAATATAAAACTAAAAGCAAGTTATCACCACCAAAAGACCAAAAAACCCAGAACAGTGTTAATTGTGCTGGTGAAAGGTGTCAATTAGACAGTCTTGGGCTGTGTCCAGACTCAGGGTTTTTTTTCGAAAAAAAGAGCCTTTTTTCGAAAAAAACTTCACCTGCGTCTAGACTGCAGCCGCGTTCTTTTGAAATTAAATCAAAAGAACGCGGCTTTTCTTTCGACGGCGGTAAACCTAATTTCACGAGGAAGAACGCCTTTTTTCGAAAGCGCTCTTTCGAAAAAAGGCGTTCTTGAATGCACACAGGTTTTTCGAAAGAGAGCATCCAGACTGCGTGGGTGCTCTTTCGAAAAAGCGGCTTGCTTTTTCGAAAGTTCCGCTTGCAGTCTAGACGCTCTTTTTCGAAAGAGGCTTGCAGTCTAGACATAACCTTGGAGACAAAAGTTTTCTGCTTATCTACACAATACATAACAGGCAACAGCAGACCATGCTTCCATATAATATCCTGCTAATATGCTTGAATCCTAACTGATAGGGCCATATTTAGGGGATGAAAGTTTTTTCAGTCTCCATTAAGGATGTTAAGTAGCGATTAATTTGCTAGTCTAGTACTAGATGGAATTTCCATTGACTACTCGACTAGTCAATAAGCACTTCTGCGTTCCATCTCTGAAATATACAAGAGCCCCAGTGGGGGGGGTTCATGTGCACTTCACAGTTGGGACACCGCGTGGAGCTTAGGGTCAGCGGGGGACTCAGAGTCCCGTGCTAGCCCCAGACTCCATGCTGTGCTTCTTCTCTGAAATGCACAAGAGCCCCCACTGGGGACTCTTGTACATTTCTAAGCTGGCAGCCATGTGAAGCCCGGAGTCAGCTGGGGAGTCCTCAGCTGACTCCAGGCTGCATGCAGTGCTGCCTCTTAAGTACCCTCCTCTTTCCCCTCCCGCCCCGCTGCCTCCCACCTTGCTGCCACTATCTGATATCGGGAGGAGCGTGCAAGTTTCTTGCTCCCTGCCCCCGCCCTGCAAGCGCCACACACCCCTTGCAGGGTGGAAGCAGGGAGTGAGAGACTTTGCATGCTCCTCCTGACCCCAGACCCTGATGGCCTGGGTTGGACACAGCTAGCGAAGTCTCCTCCTGCCCTGCAAGAGGGCAGGTGCCTGGAGGAACTGCTAGCTTTTCAGTACATCTGGCAGTTCTCGCTAGGCAGGGAAGGATGGGGGGCAAAGACTTCAAGTGCTCCCCTACCTCAGGCCAATCAGGGTCAGTGGGAGGGACAGCATGGAAATGTCTTGACCCCACCCCTTCTGGGGTGGCCTGAGACCTTTTCAAAAATTAGTGAAGTGCCCCCCCCCATCTAAAATTATTGCCCACCCTTGCCTTATCAGAAATTCAACTAGTTGCTTACATCTCTACACTAACCCACAGAAAAGTCAGCCAGGGGCTACAAACAAGTCAGAAACAAAAACAACCCCCAGAAAGCACATAACCGTCTGTGACGGGCTCGCCAAAGCCCACACTGAGGTCGGGAACCACCCGGGTGACCAGCTGGCAGAGAAGCGGCCGCCAGCAAGGCAGCGGGACGGCAGATTTTAGGACCGCACTTCTGTCAGGTGGCCATGGCCTGCAGGGACAGCTGCTTGGTGCATGACCGGCATGCGCCGGATTGGAGGATGTGAGAGGGGTGAAGCGACGCCCCGTGACGTCCGAGGGTGGGCCGGTTAGACCAGGCCCAGGAGTGGGGGGGACCCTCACCGTGGCGGTCAAGGAGCCTCCCTGACGCCCTGGCCAGAGGGGCTTCCAAGGAGCCTGGGAGGCAGCAATCCCATCCGGCCGGAACCAGAAGCCGAAACGATGGTAGGACCCGGGGGACTTCCCCACGAACAGGGTCAGGCAGGCACTGCTTGGTGCATGACCGGCATGCGCCGGATTGGAGGATGTGAGAGGGGTGAAGCGACGCCCCGTGACGTCCGATGGTGGGCCGTTTAAACCAGGCCCAGGAGAGGGGGCGGGGGGGGGGGGGGGGGGAGCGGACCCTCACCGTGGCGGTCAAGGAGCCTCCCTGACGCCCTGGCCAGAGGGGCTTCCAAGGAGCCTGGGAGGCAGCAATCCCATCCGGCCGGAACCAGAAGCCGAAACGATGGTAGGACCCGGGGGACTTCCCCACGAACAGGGTCAGGCAGGCAGATGAGGAAGCAACTCAGGGCAGAGCGCTTTTGGCGCCCGTGGGCTGGCAAGCTTCGGGTTGGATCCCCGTCAGCCCTGACGCCCTGGCCAGAGGGGCTTCCAAGGAGCCTGGGAGGCAGCAATCCCATCCGGCCGGAACCAGAAGCCGAAACGATGGTAGGACCCGGGGGACTTCCCCACGAACAGGGTCAGGCAGGCAGATGAGGAAGCAACTCAGGGCAGAGCGCTTTTGGCGCCCGTGGGCTGGCAAGCTTCGGGTTGGATCCCCGTCAGCCGGGTTGGGGCGAGGAAACCCCACCCTTAGGGCCCCGGGTTGGGACCCGGTGGTGAGGGAGGGCCCGGGTCCCCCTAAACTCCCACCTCCCTCAGCGTTAGTAGCGGTGTAGGACCCGTTCAGGACTTCCGAAGAGGGGCTAAGGACCCCGGAGACCCTGCGGTCTCATAAGCTGGACAGGAAGAGGGCTCGCTGGGCCCTGTCATCAGCCTAGGGGACGGGAGCTCACGCACATAGGGACGCCCCAGAGAAAAACAGAGACAGGTGGAGGGGGCTCGCTGGGCTCCGCCCAGGCCAGGGCGGTGCTCGCGCCCCAGGACCTGTAACACCCTCACAGACCTGGCCCTCAAAATCCCTCATCTCCAACTGAGAAAGAAAAAAAAAAAAAAAAAAGACACTCCTCTTAAACCCCAGCCCCAGAAGGAAGGGGGTGGGGAGAGGCACTGATGTTCAGGGCTGGAGTGGAGAGCTGCCAAGAAGCAGGTGGGAGGTTCTGGGCGGGAAGGTGTGAAATTTGGTTGGGACACAGGATGCAGAAGTGGGCTGGAAGTGGGGGTTGTGAGCAAGAGGCAGAGTGCAGGTGTGGTGACTGGGTGGGAAGCAGGATGCAGTAGCAGGCTGCGGGTGAAAGTGTGTGGTCTGGCCAGAAGGGAGGGTGCAGGATTTGGATGGCAGATAGAGTACAGGAGTGGGGTGGGAGTGTAGGGCCTGGACAAGAGGAAGGATGCAGCAGTGGGGTAGAGGTGTGGAGGGTCTGGGTGGTATGGGATAGAGGATGGTGGTGTTTACTTGGTCCAACCACAGAGAGAACCCCCTGATCAGCAAAGCCTGTGGCTCGCCACTTTTCCACACCCCTTTCAGGAGTCTGATTTGTCTTGTGTACCCCCAAATTTTACCTCAACAACTTGCTTACGAAATCAGGCATAAAAATGTAAACGCGCCACAGGCTGATCTTAGTGGGAACCTGCTTCCATCTAATTTGCAGCGCATCGTTACACGCAGGCTGGAGGAAGAGAAATGCCACACTTGCGCTGCAGCCAGGGCACAACAGGCAAGTCGCTGTCAAGCCTATTCCTCACTCTGGCACTATGAATGCAGGAGTTGGGGCCTTAAAGAGTGCTCCAACCCCTGCCCCTACAGGCACTGGTTACAAAAACTTCCCCCCCAAATCCTAATACCCAGATTTTGGGGAACCTGCTGCCACCATCAAATTTTGATCCCCAAAATTCTCTCACACACACACACACACACACAAAATAGGGGTGGACACTTGAAACCAATCCCAGGAGTACCCCAAGCTCTTTCCCCCCAAAAGAGCTTGAAAAAGTAAATAGAAAAACAAGCTGCAGTCTCTGGTAGCTGACCCCTTAGCTCTGCGGTGGTGAATGCTTTGGAAGGGACCTCACAAGGAAGAAATTGGAAGGGAACACCATCTACTGGAAGGCATGGGATTCATAGTCCTAGGAATGGGGGTTCCACGACCATCACTCCCAAAAGAAGATGACAGGTGGCGGTGGTCAGGGACTCCCTTCTAAGAGGGACTGAGCTATCCATCTGCCATCCGGACCTGGAATCTCGAGAGGTGTGCTGCTTACCAAGAGCTGGAATTCAGGATGTGACTGAAAAGCTTACAAAACTGATCAAACCTTTGGATCGCTACCCCTTCCTGCTTCTCCATGTGGGAACTAATGATACAACCAAGAATGACCTTGAGCGGGTTACTGCAGGTTATGTAGCACTGGAAAGAAGGATCAAAGAATTTGGAGTGCAAGTGGCAGGAGAACACTTCAAAGGGCTTGGGTACACTGACTGTTAACCTGCACAACAAACAAAAGGTCACTATAGCTCAGAGGAGACTGTTTCACAGAAGAAAAGGCAAAATGATGATACGGGAAGGAACTGCCTGGACCTTCCATCATCCCTTCTCTTTAGCCCCTCTCTAAAGACCATGTTGGTACAACTGTGTCTTTTCAGATGGAGAGCTCAAAGGCTATCTTATCTGGCCAGCCAGGAGCTCTAAAGGCATGCGTGATGGTTCAGCTCTTGCTGCCCCCAACAGCAAGAACGTTTATTTCTGAATTCCAATGTCCCCACTTGGTGCATCCCTGGCTAACTCTGAATTAACACCACTACCTGGACTTTCCCTAGGTCTACTATGTAATTGCTCTGCCAGTATTAGAAGCCCTGGCCCAGTCAAAGAACTGTGATTTGATTGGAATAACGGAGACTTGGTGGCATGACTGGAGGCATATAAACTGTTCAGGAAGAACAGGCGGGGGAGGAAAGGGGGAGGAGTTGCACTGTATGTAAGAGAGCACTATGATTGCTCAGAACTCCAGTATATCGAGGGAGAAAGGCCTGTTGAGAGTCCATGGGTTAAGTTTAGAGGTACAAACAACAGCCGTGATGTTGTGGTTGGTGTCTGCTACAGGCCACCGAATCAGGTGGATGAGGTAGATAAGGCTTTCTTCAGACAACTGAGAGAAGCTTCCAGATCGCAGGCCCTGGTTCTCATGGGGGCTTTAATCAACCTGACATCTGTTGGGAGACCAATATGGCATTACACAGGCAATCCAGGAAGTTTTTGGAGAATGTTTGGGACAACTTCTTGGTACATGTGCTGAAGGATTCGACCAGGGGCTGTGCGCAGCTTGACCTTCTGCTCACAAACAGGGAGGAACTAATAGGGGAAGCAGAGGTGGGTGACAACCTTGAAAGCAGTGATCATGAGATGATAGATTTCAGGATCATGACCAAAGGAAGAAAAGAGAGTAGTAAAATACATACCTTGGACTTCAGAAAAGCAGATTTTTTACTCCCTCAGAGACCTGATGGGCAGGATTTCCTGGGATGAAGGGGAAAGGAGTCCAGGAGAGCTGGCAAGGGCAAATCATGCCTGACCAATCTGATTAGCTTCTAAGATGAGGTAACTGGCTCTGTAGACATGGGAAAGTCAGGGAATGCGATATACCTTGACTTTAGAGCAAGGCTTTTGATACGGTCTCCCACAATATTCTTGCCAGCAAGTTAAGGGAATGTGGATTGGATAAATGGATGGTAAGATGGATAGAACGCTGGCTATAAGGTCGGACCCAGCAGGTAGTGATCAACGGCTCGATGTCAGGATGGCAGTCAGTTTCTAGCAGAGTGCCCCAAGGTTCGGTTTTAGGACCGGTTTTGTTCAATACCTTTATTAATGACACAGATGAGGGGATGGACTGCACCCTCAGCAAGTTTACAGATGACACTAAGATAGGAGGAGAGGTAGATACACTCGAGGGCAGAGACAGGGTCCAGAGTGACTTGGACAAATTGGAGGATTGGGCCATAAGAAATACGATGAGGTTCAACAAGGACAAGTGTAGAGTCCCGCACTTGGGACGGAAGAATCCCAAGCATTGTTACAGAAAACTGGGATTTACAGTGGATTACCTGGGGATTACAGTGGATGAGAAGCTGGACATGAGTCAACAGTGTGCCCTTGTAGCCGAGAAGGCTAATGGCATATTAGGTTGCATTAAGAGGAGCATTGCCAGCTGATCCAGAGATGTGATTATTCCCCTTTATTCGGCTCTGGTGAGGCCACATCTGGAGTATTGTGTTCAGTTCTGGGCTCCCCCCCACTACAAAGAGGATGTGGATGCATTGGAGAGGGTCCAGCAGAGGGCAACCAAAATGATTAGGGGGCTGGAGCTAATCCTACAATGTTAGACTGAGAGAGTTGGGTCTGATTAGTCTGCAGAAGAGAAGAGTGAGGGGGGATTTGATAGCAGCCTTCAACTTCCTGAAGGGAGGTTCCAAAGAGGATGGAGAGAGGCTGTTCTCAGTAGTGACAGATGGCAGAACAAGGAGCAATGGTCTCAAGTTGTGGTGGGAGAGGTCCAGGTTGGATATTAAGAAAAACTATTTTTACCTAGGGAAGTAGTGGAGTCTCCATCCCTAGAAATTTTTTAGTCTCGGCTTGACAAAGCCCTGGCTGGGTTGATTTAGTTGGGATTTGTCCTACCTAGGGCTGGGGGCTAGACTTGATGACCTTCTAAGGTCTCTTCCAGCTCTATGATTCTATGATACACACAGACAGACCTTCCAGGAAACAAGAATCAACCAATACCAGTTAATTAGAATAAAAAAAACCCCAATCTTTTATTGTCAAAGCAAAACAACAGTTGCAAGCATGTTAAATGGACTAGATGGAAAGAGCCACCATTTGATATAGATACTCAGGGAAAGCCCCCAGGCTGTAATCCTGAGTTACAAAAGAGAACAATTAACCAGCTCAGACATGATTTCCAAACCCTGGTGGACTTTTCTCCACTTATATGTTAAGAAGTCCCTTCTTGGAGAGAGAGAGAGAGAGAGAGAGAGAGAGAGAGAGGTTTCCCATCTCAATACCTGGGAGAAACTGCTCTGCTCTCAAACAGAGGAGAGAGAGAGAGAACACCTGCCCCCCTCCCAGTTTGAAATTCCTACCTGCCTTTGCCTCCCCCCCCCCTCCCCCTTCTCTGCTTTCCCCCCCCCCCCCCATCTCCCTTCTGTTCTGAAATTTGTCCTTTTCATGTATGTTCATTTTTTAAATTGTATTCTTTGGTATATCTGGTTGTGACAATTTTCTTCCACTATTTGATCTGAGGAAGTGGGTCTGGCCCATGTAAGCTCATCACCTAATCAACCATCTTAAAGTGCTACACAGTCCTGTCTTTTGTTTCAGCTGCACCAGACTAACACGGCTCCATTTCTATCACTCTTCTACCTGCCTTGTTACTGGCCGATTGCCCGAGCAGCAGACACCTTTGCTGGGTACCTGGGTTAACCCCTTAGTCCCCGGGGGCTGCTCAGCACACCTGCCATGTAAGCTCATCACCTAATCAACCATCTTAAAGTGCTACACAGTCCTGTCTTTTGTTTCAGCTGCACCAGACTAACACGGCTCCATTTCTATCACTCTTCTACCTGCCTTGTTACTGGCCGATTGCCCGAGCAGCAGACACCTTTGCTGGGTACCTGGGTTAACCCCTTAGTCCCCGGGGGCTGCTCAGCACACCTGATTATGACGCGGGGCGCCGGCCCTGCCCCGGCCGCCCTACCTGGACGAGGCAGGGGGACTCGAGCAGGCACTGGCGCAGGTCCTCCCGCAACCCCGCACAGGCCCGCCCGTCCTCCTCCTTCTCCTCGTAGTACTTGGGCATCCCAGCAACGCGCCCGCGCCTACTTCCTCGCCCGGCGGGCCGCCGCCATCTTGTTGCCCTTTCACCCGGGCCGGTCCCGCCCGGACAGGAACTGACG